GTGGGCCCATAAATGCTGTGTGGCTGATGACTGGTTTGGGTCCACTCAGCCATCTAGACACAGAGCTAATCACTTTGACGTTGGAAATAAGTGATGTTGGGCTTCCTGGACCCCTCTGTCTGGGTACCTGTAGAGCAGTTCCCACAGCAGTTGGAACTCCCACAACTGTGGGCACCACGTGGCCGCCAGTTTCATCTGCTCAGCTTGGCTTCCAAGTCATTGAGCTTCAATTTTAATGTGGTTTTCTCCAGAAAAGGGCTCTTTGTGCTGGGCTCCTCTCACCCTGAACTTCCCTGAAAGATGGGCAGTTTCCCTGAATGCATGACCCATATTCCTTGGTCCCTGAATTTCTTGGGTCTGGTGTAGTACCTTTCTTAGTGGACCACCAGGGCAGAGAAGGGTGAATACAGGTTGCAACAACAAATTCCCCCCAAACCGTTTTTATTGTGGAGACTGATATATGAGTTTGAGGTTTGCTATTCAGCTCTCCTGGACAACTCCCAGGCCGCTCTTCTCACGCCCTGGAGGGTAGGGGCCAGGCACTCAGCGTCTCTCTCTCAGGAACCTGCTAGGTGTGTTTCAGCACATACTGGGTGCTGAGGCTGATCGTGTTTCCTCTTTCTTGCAGGCCCAGAAATCTACTCTACTACCACAGGTGAGTCACTGCAGCGCAACCCAAGACTCCTCTCCAGAATTCTACCCTCTCGGGTTTCCAGAAATAGAAGGAGAAGAGCAGCCTCCTCCTATGGAGTGCTTTCCCTCTGAGGACTCTGGAATCTGTTTTAGTGATAAGCTGAGTCCCCCAAACTATGGCTGTTACTCATCTCTGGCTGGAGGGCCCCTCTGGTCTCCTGCCACCGCTTGCTGCCAGCGCTCCTTCAGAGACGCTGTGGGGGAAGAGGTTTGGTTTTCTGGTTGTTTCCAATGAAAATAACTCGTAGTCATTCCATAGAGAACTGTGACCATGCTAGAAACATGGCCGAGGAACACTCCTACAAACGTTTGTCTGTTAAAGAATGCTTCACATTGAGAGCAATCCCTCAAATGATTTTTATGATACAGAGAAAATATCTGGTGCTAAATATGTTGGGAAGTGCTATATACTCCGAGCCTTTTTGGCCAGTCACAGTGTTAAATTGGAATGGTCAAGGCTCTGAGAAGTCCTGCAGTAAGGAAAAGGATTTATTTTCTCCATCAAACTGATGACCATGGAATTAAAGAATGATGCAGCAATATCCTAAAATCACTTCATTTTCTTTCTAGAAACTGCAACCACTCAGAGTAACTATCATATTTCTCCACCTGACCGAGAGGGCACGGGTTCCTTCTCCCCAGCCTTGCCTGCTGGTCCCCGAGCTGCAGTCACGGTGCTCACTGTCCAAAGCGTTTGCCTCTCCCGCCTTTCCTGGCACGTGGCAACGCCTGCAGCTGATGTCCCAGCCCCAGGAGGGCTGGGCCTCTCTTAGGCTCCTCTTTGCCCTTTAGTAGCCTGGCCAGCCTAAGATTCGGATCTCTGGTCAGTCCCTAGGCGAGGCTGCCCCCCCTCCCCCGTGTAGATCCCACCCCTCCCCTTGGACACTAGACCCCGGTCAGCGCTGGCTGGCTGGAGCCCGCTTCGTCTCCGAGCTCGGTGTGTGATCAGCAAGAGCTCCTGACCGGCTGCTCTCGAGCTGCTGCTGAGCTCCCCCTCTCCCCCCACCCCTGAGACCTTTCCTCTCCGTCCCCACCCTCCCCTCCTCCCCACCTGGCTTCCTGAAGCCGCAGCAGCTTCAGGCTGCCCCTCCCCTCTGATCCATTCTCTGCAGTGCAGCTAGGGGCATCTTCACAAGATGCCAAGGTCAGTCCCAGTCTCGGGGACTGATTCCTCAGGGCCTTCTGGTCACAGATCCTCACTGCTCAGGACAACCTCTAGGGCTCTGCACAGTTCTCTCCTAGTTCCCGCCATCCTGTCCCTGCTGCATGCACACTGAGGTTCCCCAAATGTGCCACGTACACCTAGGTTCCTTGGCACACACTGTTCTCTCTGCCTGGAACACCCTTTCTCCCTTTCTGCCTTGCCTCCCTGATTATCCAACCCCCTTTCCCTGCTCAGTCTGGGTCAGGAGCCAAAGCTCCAGGCTCCCACCACCTCCTGGGCTTTGCTCCATCGCAGTCCCAGCCCACGATGCTGGGATTTTCTCTTTTCCATCCTCTCCTCCAGGCTGTGTGGTCCCTGAGGGCAAGGCCTGTATCCAGCATTCACTGTGAACCCAGGGTTGGCACATTTCCAGGCACAGAGCCAGCAAGGACTCAACAGTTGTGTCAAGGGTACCAGGGAACTGATCATTATGTTTTCTCTTTGTCAACAGATCCTGTTTCCACCCCCACCCGCCCAGCCAGTAAGTTCTGAGCTCCCTGACAAGTCCCCTTTCCCTTCTCCTCAGTGACAGGGACACCGGGGAGGGATGAGGAGAATGGTGAGGAGATGTTTTCCCTAAGGACAGTCTCTGTGGAGGGACGCCCCACTGACCATCAGTGTGTAGCTGGGGTCTAGGCACCGCCTGGTGGGTTTCTGTCTTGGGAATTGCTTAAAAAATCTCCCCCAGGTGACTGTGCAGTGTGCATTGTGGGTCATCAGTATTTCCATTTTATCCCAACAGCAAATTATTCCTGTGGAGGCTTCCTGTCCCAACCTTCAGGGAGCTTTTCCAGCCCATTCTACCCTGGGAAGTATCCGAACAATGCCAAGTGTGTGTGGGACATCGAAGTTCAGAACAACTACCGTGTGACTCTGGTCTTCAGAGACGTCCAGTAAGTGTGTGCGAGGGACCTTGCAGACATTTAGAAGGGGATAAATGGTACCTAGCACTTCAGGAGAGATGTTTGCCCCGTTGACATTTTTTCTTATGGGTTCCATTTTCGACCGAGCACAGAGGTGGCACCAGGACCAGAGCAACTGGTTTCAAGTTGCACCTATGTCACTAATTTCCTGTGTGATCATGGGAAATCACTTAATTCACCTTAGCCTCAAGAGAGGAGAATAAAATAACTGCTTTCCTACCCTTGCTGGTTACTGGGAGGGTCACAAGAGAGAAATATATGAAAATACTTGGACAATGTTATCCAGTGGGATTATTGTTAGGAGTAATAATAATAATTATTATTACAATATTTATTATAATAGTAGTAATAATAATTGTTAGGAGTAATAGTAACAAGAATCCTATTAACAACCACACCAGTTTTTCTGAACCCTTTTCGCTCTACTTCCTCCTTTTTTTGGGTGAGTTTCAGGCAGAGGAGGAGAAATCCCTGCAGCAGAGGTTAGGTTATCTGTTCCTCATCCAATGAAGAGTGGGAATCCTTGTTTTAAGTGGAGGAGGCTTCATCAGAATGACAGTGGTACATGATTGGTTCAAGGAGGGGTGACCACAGCGAGTCACCAGTAGTTTCTAGAGTCCTGGGAAGGGGCGTCCATAATTTCTCCTCTAACAGCCACCACTGAACAAAGTAGTTTTCTCTCTTGGTTGCAGTGGCCTTGGGAGTCTCTGCCTTAGAAATTTGTGTGGGGTTTTGAGAAAGGTACAATATTATTTTAATCTCTTCATCATTACAATTCATACTGGATTGTGGGGACTGTATGAAATCCTTTGGAGGAAGGTTGACCGTGACTGGCTCTGAGTCAGCATCTTAATAACAATGACCACCATTTGTGACATTTTATGAAGCACTTCTCCATATATTACATTGTTTGAGCCTCACGACGGCTTTCTTCAGTATACATGGGTAGGGAGATTTCACCTTCGTAAATAAGAAACCTGAGCTGCAGAGAGGCTATTTGACTTGCCCAGTATTTTTTTGTTCAATTATTTGTTTCTATCACTATGAATTCATGGATTTTAAAAAATTCTATGGGAAACTGGGGTCTCTTTGATCAAAGAAAAAGTCTAAGGTAGGATGTGATCCTTTCTCATGTGATGCAAAAGGCTGTCAGGAGAGGGGCTGTAGATCTCATATGTGTGACCCCAAAAGGCAGGACTAGAACCATGTATGGAGGTCATGGGAAGATGAATCTCCGCCCGATTTAAGAAAGTCTCACAAACTGGTGGTGACCAGTGAGGAGAGGGATTGGAGGAGGGACGGTACAGGGGTAGGGGATTAAGAGGTAGAAACTATTATGTATAAAATAAGCTGCAAGGGTACATTGTATCAATACAGTGCAGGGAATATAGCCAATATTTTATAATAACTATAAATGGAGTATAACATTTAAACATCGTGAATCACTATATTGTACACCCGTAACTTGTATAATATTGTACGTCAACTATACTTCAATAAAAAAGGAAATCCATTACTTTCAATTATTAATTTTGTCACAGTTTCTGGCTTAGAGGTGTGATGCCTCTCACGGAGATCAGACCCCCTGCAACAAATCCTGGTTAAAAGTGAAGCCAGATCCCTGGTGGCGCAGTGTTTGGGAGTCTGCCTGCCAATGCAGGGGACGCGGGTTCGTGCCCCGGTCCGGGAAGATCCCACGTGCCTTGGAGCGGCTGGGCCCGTGAGCCATGGCCACTGAGCCTGCACGTCCGGAGCCTGTGCTCGGCAACGGGAGAGGCCACAGCAGTGAGAGGCCCGCGTACCGCAAAAAAAAAAAAAAAAAAAAAGTGAAGCCAGAACTGTGTGCTGTGTCTCCGCAGGCTTGAAGGCGGCTGTAACTACGATTATATTGAAGTGTTTGACGGCCCTTACCACAGCTCCCCTCTGCTCGCCCGGGTTTGTGATGGGGCAAGGGGCTCCTTCACCTCGTCATCCAACTTCATGTCCATTCGCTTCATCAGCGACGGCAGCGTCAAGATGAGAGGGTTCCAGGCTGAATACTACTCCAGCCTTTCCCCTGGGAGCACAAGTAAGTCCCCGTCTGTCTGGGTGGGGCCCCTCGGAGTGACTTCTGCTGCTCAGCCATCCCATGGCTGTGAGATGAGAAGTGATGGCCGCCTTTTCAGGTCACCAAGGCTCGATCCGGTGCAGAAAGGGGCCAAGGGCAGTGGGTCTTGGGACTCTGCCTCCCAGACATGGCCGATGGGTGGCGCGTTGGCCTTTCTGTGGTCAGCAGAGATGAAGTAGAAGGGCAAGGTGTTGCTTTCAACAGATAGTGAGATGTCAGTGTCAAGGGCAGAGGGGATCACCTGGCTTGAGGCCTTGTGGCCTTCCCAGAGTGTGGGACACTGTGACCTTGTCCTGAGACCTAGCACATTCGGCTGCTGCCTGAAGACGGTCTGAGCTGGCCGCTCAGCCTCGTCCAGCAGAGGCTGATGGCCACGGTTTGAGCTGTTAAGTGGACTGATGTACAGATTGGCCAGGGGCCGGGCAAGGTGAGGTACTGGCTCTCTTTAAAATCCTGAGGTCAGGATTTTAAGCACCGACCTGCCCCTTAGCTAAAGGACCTATGTTTACGTCCATAGCTAAGGATGTTGATTTTCCGACATCCCCTCAATTCAACCCGAGCGTTACTTTACTATATGGATAAACGGCAACTTAGCAAAACATTTTGCTTTTTCACACCCTGCCTTCACTTCTCCATCAGAGAAATCCCAGTCCCTGGGCCCTCAAGGGGTCTCATGAGAGTGAAACTGACTTGAGCCCCAGGGCACCTGGCGCGGTGGTGAGCTGTGTCCGCAGGCAGACCATCTGCCAGCCATCTCAATCTCTGCACCTTCCTGTGGGCTTGGGGGGGCGCTGACACTGACCGCACTGTCTGCCCTTGGCCCCCAGAGCTGCTTTGCCTGCAGAATCACATGCGAGCCAGTGTGAGCGTGGGCTACCTCCAGTCCCTGGGCTACTCTGCCAGGGACCTTGTCATTCCCGGCTGGAACAGGAACTACCGGTGTCGGCCCCAGATTACTTCGAGCCAGGTGACCTTCACAGTTCCCTACTCTGGCTGTGGCACCATCGAGCAGGTAAGCCTGGAGCTTCTTCCTCTCCCTCCTGCTGAGCCAGCTTTCTTACAGTGCCCTGCGCTGTGCTTTTTGAATTCTGGGGACCCAGAAAACACGATTATGGTATAACCAGAACGTAATCGGGCTGAAGATACAAATCCGTCCCTTGGTGCCGTGACGCAGCTGCAGCCGTGTCCAAATAGAAGGAAGGAAAGTCAGTGGGGAGGTTTTCCCACACTGTGCACCAGAGAGGGTGCCTGGCAGGCTGCTATCACTTCGGCAAGAGCGATAGCAGCTCCCAGGGCCAGCTCCAGGTTCTGAAGGGCCTGGAGCTGATACAGGTTGGTGTTGGGGTGGGCAAGAGAGGCAGGTGCCTCGTTCATGGAAAGAATGCAAGCATATCTTGGTTTTAGAAATCTTACAAAAGCACATGGCTGAGCCAGTGCGTTGCTGAGCCCCGGAAGAGCCTGTGCAGGGGGGGCCTGAAGCCTAACCTCCATTAGCTTCACAGTAAATTGGCCTCTGCAGCTATCGTTTGTGGAGCTGTCACCACCTGGGGTGACCAGTTGTCTTGGTTGACCTGGGACTTTGCAGATTTTAGCATGGAGAAATCTCATGTCCCAGGAAACTCCTTAATCCTGTCCCCCTACAAGTGGCAGACACTGAGATTAGTCTGTGTCAAACTCCCCCAAATCCCCACCAAGATGAGGCAAGTCTCCCCTCATTGTCATCCTGCTTGAAAAACAGGGAGACTGGGCTTTGAGGGGTCAAGCAGGTTGCTGAAAGCTACTTAGCCAGGAAGCGGTAGGGCCAACACCAGACTCTGAGAATCTCAAAAATGTGGCACTGAGTGAAAGAAGCCAGGCGCTACCCACCCTGTGATGTCATTTCTATGAAATCTGTGTACATAGTGAGCCGACCTGGTGGGAGGGGACTGCCTGCAAAGGGGCAGGATGGAGCTGTTTGAATTAATGGGAGTGTTGAGTCTTTTACTGTCAAACCCCACCGAATGGTAAACTTAGAGTTGTTGCATTTCATTGTATGTAAATTCATTTAAAACTCTGCACTCTAAGTTCTGAATTTTTGGCTGACACCTAAGTAATCACTTCAAGATTTTGTCTGTCAGGGAACAGACACAGTGCAAATACTTTTATTAGGTTTAGGACCGCAGTATAAATATACAGCACAAAAGGCTCAAATACGTACAATGTGTGTGACACACGCGATCAGAGGGTTTGCCCGTCACCAAAGACGTACCGTACATTTGCCGCGTGCCCGGCTAGGTGCTATGAGCGTGTGTTCATTACCTGGCAAGGTCACAACGAACCGTGAGAGCGGGAGAGGACACTCGTTTAGCTAACCAGGTGGGCCTGTCAGCCACAGGTGGGTGCCTGGGCCCGAGGGTCTGCCGTTGCCACTGTGGTCCCCCAGCTCCCATTGGACAGTCCCTACAGACACCAGATCTCCTTCTGATAGGAGCTGAGTGGGTCAGGGAGGCTTACATGCAGAGGAGGGTACAGATGGGTCACGCCCTGCAAACGTTCTAGTCGACCTGGCTTTTACATTTCGCGCTGTCAGTCAATCGTGTTGGATTCTGGTTTGTCCTGAGTTTAGTCAGTGGGAATCAGTCTGCCAAAGGTGACCCACCCCTCCCAGTTCCAAATATGCAGCCTGGAGCCTCTGACATCTGAGCCCTCCTATCTGTGTTCCTTCATCTCCAATAGGAGCTGCCCAAGCCACGGGCCAGCCCTGGTCTTCTAACCTGGCTGGTCATGGGCAGCACAGGCTACATTCTGATTCCTCTGCTTACTTAAATACCTGTATCCCCTAGTAAACCGTGCCTCCAGGGCAGGCCAATGTTTCATTCATCTATGCAACTGCGAGTGCCCCTGGTGTGGAGCCTAAGCCTTTATAATCATATTATTAGGGACTAGTATGCGTGCCAGGCACTGAACTAAGAGTTCCACGAGACTTTCAAAATTCCCGAGACAACTTTTATTCCCATTTAATTGTGAGGAAACGGAAGTTTGCAGAGGTTAAGCCACTTGCCCTAGGCCACATGATCATGAACTGTGGAGCCGGCATTCAAAGGCAGGACGGTATGATCCGTAGCTGGGACTTTCTGCATCTCCTCCAGGTGCCCCGTTTAGTGGGTGTCTGACGAACGTTGGCTCGTGTGTCTGAATAGGCAAGGTCTCCCCACCACAGGAGTGGGATGCCAGGCGGAAGAGGCCGGGTCTCTATGGGATAGCCGTTGATGTGTCTGCCGGACTCCCACTCCATCCCAAGTGCCTTGTACGCTGAGCAGACGTCTAATAATGAATTTTAATTTAAAATCAGAACAGCTTCTGATGATCAAGAAATACACCGGCACCCCACTTTCATTGTTTGACGTGCATTCAGAATCTAGCTTGACCGCGGAAACCACAGGCAGATGTGGATTCAAGAACACTGTCATGTGAATATACAGAGTTCAACTGAAGGCACCTCAGCTTGTCTTTGAAGGAGTAACAAGGTGGCAACATTTATATGGTTTATTGCGATAACCACTGGCACTCCAATATAAAGCTCCCCCCGCTTTTTTAAAGAAAATATAAAGGCGGAAAATACAGTGTACTTCCCATGAAGGAATGGAAGGCATAGAGCCCATCCTAGGCCCTTTGCCAGACCTGAGTCCAAAGTGCGGGCTCTGGCGCCCCCTGCAGGCCAGAGCCTCCCTCTGACGGGAGAAAAGGGAAACCCACGGTCAGAGAGTAGGCAAGGGTCCCAGGGTGGCAAGACCACTTTAGATAGTTGTTAAACTTGTCTCTTTTCACATGTCTTTCTGGAAGGGACAAACTCAGAGCTGAATTTTGCAACTTTAGACATGAAGTTAAAGCCTCTCCGACACATGCTGCTCTAAAGAATAATTATATTTAGTTGTACAAGTGCTGGCTTCAGAAGGGAACTTGTCTGATTTCCCAAATGGCCAGGAATGAACTTTTGCTCCTGACAGGGTATATAACTAAATGTCATATGACATTTAGTGACAGTGACAAACTTGCTTTTTTTTTTTTTTTTTTTTTTGCGGTACGTGGGCCTCTCACTGTTGTGGCCCCTCCCGTTGCGGAGCACAGGCTCCGGACGTGCAGGCTCAGCGGCCATGGCTCACGGGCCCAGCCGCTCCGCGGCATGTGGGATCTTCCAGGACCGGGGCACGAACCCGCGTCCCCTGCATCGGCAGGCGGACGCTCAACCACTGCACCACCAGGGAAGCCCCTATATATTTTTTTAAGAGTAAGGTTGTCTTACATTTTAGGGCTTCTGTTTAGGCCACTATGGGGTTATTTCTGCACCTGTTCTTGCAGAGGCACCCACGGCTGGTGGGAACTCGTACCAGGCAAGGACAAGTTTGCTTAGGACCATCACAGCATTTGGGAGGGAAAGAGTGCACCACCCCCAGTCTCCACCTGGGGATGCTGCTCTTGTGCTCACCTCCCCTGCGGCCAGATGATCATGACCATGGGGCCTGCAGGGGCGCTTGCTCACCTGTGTCCTCTTGGCCATTTGGGCTGGTTGCTCCTGGCACCATCCTTCTTTCATCACAAGTACTTTTGCTGGACTTCCGTCCCCTGGACCTTTCCTCCATTCCACGGATCTTTATTGATGCTACTGATGCTATAGTTAACACCAAGCCCTGGGAAAAGAGAGATGCTTAGACATCACCCTTTCCTTGAAATGCTTACAGACCACCAGGTGTGAGACTCTTGTCTCTGGAAAGGTCACTCTTACGAGACGGTAGGCACATCAAACAGCGTGAGAGACCAACGTTCTTATGAATTTGCTGCTTCATGAAAGGCACAGCAGGAAATGGTCCTGTGGTTTGGGGAGTGGAGAAGCAAAGCGTGACAGGAAGTGCTCCAGCATTGCCATGGCCTCCACTCCAACCCCCACACACACCACCACCACCTTGTTGTCCATATGAGCCTCTGGGGAATTTCCTGCCCCAGAGGTCAGAGACCTGCCGCAGCCATAACTCTGGATCTCTGTTGCTTCAGGCTCCAGCAGCTTCAGACACCAAACTGCAGTAACTACTGACCCATCCAAACAGCACAGTGAAAACGAATCCTACTAGCCCCTCCCACGACTGCCTCCCCTGATTTCTCCCAGCAAGAGTGAGAATGAAATAGAACAAGCCAGAAGGGTCCTGAGCCATGGAGACCAAACTCAGCTTAGTCATACAGCAGGGGTAGGGGGTCATCCAGACACCCCCATCTTTCCATAAGCAGCAGCTCCTGGGAGGCACAGCACACTGTGGTCCCCATCACGTGGCAGAGGAAAGGGGATGTGTGAAAGGAGGGAGTCTAGCTGGTGAAGTGTATCCATCCCAGGGAACGGTAGCCATGGTGATAGGCATGTGCCGTCTCTGTGTGGTTCTGGGAAGGTTTTGAAATCTTGCAGCATCATTTCAGTCTCATTCTCACCCAAAGCAGCAACGAGATTCCCTTAGTAGGTGACGTTTGCCTGACTCTGCTCGCCTGCCTGTCTCTCCCAGGTGGATAATGATACCATCACCTACTCCAACTCCCTCAAAGCAGCTGTTTCGCGTGGCATCATCAAGAGGAGGAAGGACCTCAACATTTACGTCAGCTGCAAAATGCTCCAGAACACCTGGGTTAACACGATGTACATTGCTAATGACACCCTCGAGGTCAAGAACATACAATACAGCAATTTTGACATGAACATTTCCTTTTATACATCCTCTTCGTTCTTATATCCCGTGACCAGCAGCCCATACTATGTGGACCTGAACCAGGATTTGTACCTTCAGGCTGAAATCCTCCATTCTAACGCCTCCCTGGCCTTATTTGTGGACACCTGTGTGGCGTCACCATCTCGCGATGACTTTACATCTTTGACTTATGATCTCATCCGGAGTGGGTAAGGAGTGTCTTCATGGGGTGGACTTCAGCCTCTACCTGATAACTCACACACAACCAGCCCAGAGCTCAAGGAAGGCAGACTGGGCTCCCGGTAGCTCCAGCTTAACTAGCCAGGCTGTCACCTCTGGGCACCTGGAGAACTGAGTGGCCATCAAGCAGGTTAGCTATAAAGTAAAATTAGACTGAGTGACTAAATTCCAGGCAAGCCTTAATATGAAAAAAGACATGCCTGTAGTGGGAAAACGTTGATTTTGAAGCAGATGGAGGTTGGGATGCCTGCTCTGCCCCGTCCCAGCTGCATCATTCTGGACAGGCAATAGCACCTCTCTGAGCCAGTTTCTGCAGGCATCAAATGAGCGTAGTGGAGCCCATATCACAGCCTGTTGGAAGGATTAAACAAGAAGGAGGAGATGGGGTGCCGCACAAAGAGCATGCCAAGCAGGTGGTCCACAAGGAAGGCTGTGAAGGCAGCAGGTGGTCCCCTGACCGCCACCCTCTGAGGAGGGTGCACAGCCCACGGGGTGGGTGGCATGAGGAGTGCAGTGCCTTGTTGAGAGCTGACGGTGACTCCTCTCCTCCTCCAGGTGTGTGAAGGATGAAACCTACCGATCCTACCACCAGCCCTCACCCAACGTCCTCCGCTTCAAGTTCAATTCCTTCCACTTCCTGAGCCGCTTCCCCTCCGTGTACCTGAAGTGCAAGATGGTCGTGTGCAGGGCATACGATGCCTCATCCCGCTGCAGCAGAGGCTGCATCGTGAGGGCCAAGAGGGGCGTGGGCTCCTACCAGGAGAAGGTGGATGTCGCCCTGGGACCCATCCAGCTGCAGGTCCCGCATGCTGAGAAGAGGAGCCTGGGTAGGTGGCCATCTCCCCACCCCACCATCTGCCGGGGCCCAGGCCCGTGCACCATGGGGACTTGGGTTGCTTCCGTGGGTGTCCCGTTTCCCCTCGAATAGGGCTCCTGTGCTACTCTGGGCGATATGAAGTGGAGCTAGACCTGGTTCTCACCTTCTTCCAAGAGCTTCTGGTCTATGGGGGATGCGTGTGTAGGGTTTGGTCAAGACAGTTCTAATGTGGGACACAGAACACCTGACAGTTTTACCCTCTGGGTTCTGAATACCCAACCTCACACTCATCTGTAAAACAAAAACGTTAATACTTACCTCTTAGGACTGTTGAGGGGGTTACACAAAATACTGTTAATTGCACTGCTCTGGCCCTTGCCTGGTATAAGCCACTGGCTGCAAAGAACGGTGATGTTGTTACTATCGTTATTGTCACCAATGTTAACGTTAATCATCACATTATTACTTATAATGATGATGACAAACTGTAGCCCTGGAGTAGCGCATGCAATCAGGGTCTGGGCAGGGCCGTGTAGGTCCAGGCAGGACTGGTTTATTCTCACGGCTCCCAGGGGTTGATCCTGGAAAAGCCATTTCATTTTCCCCATCTAGAACGGGGAGCAGATTTCCCACTGTGCTGTTCCGTTGTGCATGTGGGTGAGGAAATGTTTGCCGAGGGAGTCCCATGATTTCTGGTCCAGGCCGGGCCAGGTCAACAAATGTGGTGGCCTTGGTGACAGGGGCAGATGTGGGGCGGCGCTAGAGTCACAAATCCTCCCGCAGTCACAGGCTTCACCCTACAAGGATCTTTGACAGCTCTCTCCCCTCAGGGCCCAGATCCAGGCCCTCCCCTGGAAGTCTGGCTTGCTTCCAGGCTCTTTCCTCCCATCTGCAACATTCCAGGCACCTTTGGAAGACCTATTATGTGCCAGGAGACAGAGAACTAAATACATCAATATCCTTGCCCGGAGGAGCTTCCATTCCAGTGGGAGGGGACACAGTGTGGCCATAAGTCACCTGCATGGTACCCGGGGGCTGGAGCTACAAGAGAGAAGGAAGGCACGGCAGGGGGACGGGCAAAGGCGGCCGATGGGGACTCTGCTCATGTCTCTCCTTTCCCTTCTCTTCCCACCGGCACTGCAGTAGCTTAAGTCCAGTGTCCCTCCTGCTGGGACCTTTGTGCCCATCTCCCAAATGGACTCAAATGCCCCAACTCACTCTCCTCCCGTCCATCGGGAGCCTTCAGCCAGATCTTATGCCAAAGGCCAGCTCTGACTTCCTGTTCACAAACCTTTGCTCCTGTTGGCTGACAAGACACTGGGAAATCTGCCAGGGCTGACACTCAGCTGCTCCTTGGGGTCTGACCTCAGTTTCCTGAAAGGCACTCTTTTCTCCCTTCTTTTCCCCGCCCACCAAACAGTTCTGGTTGCCATCACCCTGCCCTCGGACCCCCGTCCTTACTTCTCTCCCCTCTCCTTCCCAGACCGGACAGAGGTTGACCTGGAAGAGGAGGCCAGCGCCCAGGGGAGCTACCACAGCACCACCATCCTTGCTGGGGTCTTCCTGGTTGTGCTCTTGGCTGTAGCAGCCTTCACATTGGGGAGGAGCACCCGTGCTGCCCATGGCCAGCGTCTGAGCTCTAGGATGTGAAGCAGGAGATAACGCGTGATGCTCAGACACAGGCCCCCATGCTCTGGAGCCCGTGAGAGGAGGGAAGAAACCAGTGTCCAGAGCTTGGCACATAGAGCACCCAACTCTGGCCCAGGTGCACAGTGGTGGGTGGTGGAGGAGGGGGTGAGAAAGATGGGAGCAGGTTTTCCCAGAAACACAGACTTGGTGCTGGGACAAAATGTCAGTCAAGCAGGTGCTGGAACCTGAAATCCCACGTGAGGCAGTGAGCCACACGCTAGAAGCAGCAGCGCTTTTTCTAGATAGAATTTCTTTTCTGACTTTTTATGAACCAGCTTCTTTGGCCTGTGGTGTATATCTTAGTGTATATCTTAGCCTTTTCTTATTATAGGACAAGCCAAATAAAGAACTTTTTCAAAGCAAGTGTCGGTTTGGTCACTGTTTCCAGCGTCACATCTAAGCACTAATCCCTTCATGTTAGGTAGGTAACGTGGGCTCCCACAAGGAGTGAGAAAGGCCACGGGGCCCTGCCCTGTCGTGCCCCTGAGGCAGAGGAGAGTGCGGAGTGAGCCGTGGACAGATGGGGCTGAGACAGCTTCACCGCATCCTCCACGCGCAGCCCCTGGGGGTCTTCACGGGCAAGGCGGCTGTGATGGGCAGACAGCCATGCCCACATCAACCTGCCTCCCCTCCCTGGACCCATTACAGCCTACATACACAGGGCATGGGAGGCAAAGTTGGGCACATTCCCTTCTTGTACGTGTCCTCAATGGAGCAGGTAGTTGTAGGAGGGCTGAGGTTGGCCCAAGGGGCCTGGGGTGGTGTCAAGCTTGGGGTGTGGGCTGAGAGGGTGAAATGTCAGGAGCTCATGGGGGAAACAGGACAGAAAACTCTCGACCGAGACCCGCAATGACCCATGACATGTCTGCTACCTCCCACATGGCCTCCCGTGAGGTGTGAAGTGTGGAGTAGACTTGGTGGAGGGTCAGGAAGTACAGGAAGTTGGAGCCTTTAACATCTGTGTGAAAGCATCTCCCACTAGGTTGACAGGGGACCTGCTTGACACCGCTGCATGCGGTTGGCCATCTGACCACTAAAACCTCTGTCCCCTGTCCTTCGGCCACTGGAGCCTCATTTATATCACCCTGGTTTGGGAGGGGACCACTCACCCTTATTTTCCTGGGACCTTCTTGGTTTGGCACTGCTGCCCCTTGTCCTGAGAACCCCCTCTGTTCCCCGACTAACCAGGAGGGTTGGTCAGCCTAAACTTTGGGCAGCAGGGCTAGCGGGGAGCTGGGGTCTAGGTTCCCATGACAACCATGCAATGTAGCAGACAGGATGGAGAAGCAGGCAGGAGACCAGGCCGAAGCGCAGCAGCCGAGGTGGCTGCTACCTGCCTTGATGCCCCGGACACAGGATCTGGGAGACGGCCCTTAGCTCAGGTGAGTGTCTGGTCTTTTTGTTTTTGGTCTCTAGGGGCCAAGACCAGATGGGTGAGAAGACCTCAGGTTTTACTCAGGACTGGATCAAGACCCTGAGTTACGAAAGCATATGGGCCTTCATGACGTGTGTGTGTGCGTGTGTGTGTGTGTGTGTGCGCACGCGCACATCTGGGGTGGGCTGGATAAGGTCTTCCAGCACCACGTGAGGAGCTAGGCCAGCACCACTGATGTTCACTCTCCAGTGTGTGAGCACAGTGACGTCTCTGCCTGCGGGAGAAGTGGAAAAGGGAAAGTGTCTAGTGGGGAAGGGTCCCTGGTGGCTGGAGTCACAGGACCCCATTCTAACAAGATGTCCGTTTCAGGAAGAGATTCCTAGAAGGAAGGCTAGTCCTGCTTTGACTTCCCTTCTTGAGGGAAGGTCTAGCTCATAGAGAGAAGAAGCCATTTGGGAGTTGTCTGCCCTTTTCTGGAGGACCAGCTGGAAACTGCAAACGGGCTGCCTCCGCAAAGCCGCAGGCACTGAGCCCACCCTGGGGCTGCGCTTTGCGGGAACGGAGAGCAGTCAGATGAGGCCCAGGACTTTTCCTTGCACTTGTTCTCAGTTTGTAACTGCATCTGTAATGTGCCTGACTCTTTTCTCTAACACAGGGAAGCAGACTGACGTCCTCCCTGGAGACAAAGGCTGCTGAACTGGAATTAGGTTTGGCTTGTAGTGGTTGTGGGGGGGCAAAAGCTTATCGTTACCCTCTTAGGGTTTTATGCGGCAGGGCTGCGGCTTCAGTTGACAGAAGACAACTCAACAGGAGGAAAACATACAAGTTTATTTAATGCAAGTTTTACATGAGGTGGGGAGAGACTTCATAAGAAATGGAAACCCCCCCAAATTGGGAAACCTACTTGCTTTTATGTGTGTTTCAACAAAGAGAAACAACGGTGGAAAAGTAATTACACTATGTGAGGAAGACAAGATACTTAGAATTATTTTACCAAGGTCTCTGTGTATAGAATGCTCTGGACTCAACTTTATGTCCTGATGATAAGGATGTTATTTCCTTCTGGCATCAGGAGGATGCATTTCAATGGCAACTTGTCTCCTGTTTTTAAGAAAAAGAAGGAAGGTCAGAGTGTGCGTGAGTGTGCTGTTGCTTTGGATTTGTCTTTTTTCAAGTGTCTTTAAGTCAAAACAGTCAATATGCCACATCAACATACTTTCTGGTGGCAAGTTCTGAATTCCTTCAGGGTAAACATGAAAACAGGTTCAAGATTTTAAATAGGCTCAATTGTTTTAAAGCTAAGTCATTTCAAACTTTAGAGTCACTCAGGAGCCTCTCTGGTTGAGCTGGTGCAGGGCAGTGATCTACAGTCCTCCCGTTCCCAACTGTGATTCTTACAGAGTTGGCTCACCAGTCACTTTGAGAAATGTTCCTTTGCCTTTGGGTAAAAACCTCCCTGAAATTCAGCACATGACTATATGGATAACATAGGAAAAAATCAAAAGCTCACATGGGTTCAAATAGAAAAGTAATGTTTCTAAGATCTGGAAACACTGATGACACAAAAATGGCCAGTAGGTTGAAGCTCAGGGGTCAACTGAGAGCTGGGACCTGCCGTGTCCTCCAATGACATGACCTGCTGGGAGGGCCAGGAGCCGGCCAACCACATGGGGACTGACGTGCACCCACCCACCCAACGACCACCAGCTAAGGGAGGCTGATGAAGATCTTCTGCTGGACCTGGGGCCCCGCTGTGGGAGACAGAAGGTGGACACAGCGCAGGCACTCCTGGATCTCTGACTGGATCTCCAACTAGATCTGCAGTATCTCTGCAGGAGATCCAGCTGGCCCAGGAAAGAGCCACGGGGAGGTGACTGTGAAACCACTAGGACCAGGAGAGGAGAGTGTGGGGACGGAGAATGGGGAGAGGGCTGTGGGAGACACAGAGATCATGAAGATATCCCACTCCAAATGGACCTACAAAACCAAATCACAACACATTTATTGAAGGAAATGCTAAGCATGTTGGCCAAGGAAATCAACACCTGGCACAGAAGTTTACTCTGGGTTAGTGTGTTTGGGGAGATGGTTTTTTGTTTTTTGTTTTGCCTCACGTGTCTAAATGACCAACTTTATTTAATCAGTGACAAGTTTCCTCAAAGGTGTTCTAAAAGCCATTTGGCTCTTTTATGGTTTTTTTTTCTTATATTTTATAATTTTATTTATTTTTTTATACAGCAGGTTCTTATTAGTTGTCCATTTTATACATATTGGTGTATATATGTCAATCCCAATGAACTGGGAGATTGAGATTATTTTTAACGACGTCAAATTTACATAACATAAAATGAACCATTTCAAGGGTACTTCAGTGGAGTTTGGTGTTATCACCGTGTTGTACAGCCACCAAGTCTATCTAGTTCCAACGCATTTTCATCAGCCCTAAATGAAGCCCACAGCATAAATGGTCATCTCTTTTCCCCTCCATCCTGTTGGAAGACTGACACTACCTTGCCACCATCTGTCTGCTTCTGTCTCTACGGATTTACCTCGTCACTCCAGATTAATTTTTAAGAACACTCCTGCAAAGACTGTAATAGGAATCTTGAAGGAGATCAATGGTATCTTGAAGGCATAACTTCTGATATTTAAAAAAATAATAATCTATTTTGAAATAATTTCAAAGCCATATGGGCAAGAATCTTCAACAAAATGTTAGTATGTTGAATCCAATAGTGTATACACACAATCATGTGGGATTACTTATGGGTATGTAAGGCTGGTGGAACATTCAAAAGTCAATTATTGTAATCCAGCACATCAATAGGGTGAAAAAGAAAAATCACATGATCATAACAATATATGCATGAAAACGTTTGACAAAATTCAACTCATTCATCATCAGTATTCAGGGTAAAATAGGAACAGAGGGAAACTTCCTCAACTTCAGAAAGAATATGCATAAAAACCCCATAGCAGGCATCACACTTAATGATGAGAAATCCAAATCTTCCCATGAATATCTGGTACAGGGCACGTATATTCCCTCTCACCACTCCTTTTCAACATCATACTGGAAAGTTGTGCTTCCAGTATGCAATAAGGCAAAGAAAGTAAGTAAAAAGTATTCAGATTGGTAAGGAAGAGATTAACTTTGTTCACAGATGACATGATCATCTCTTAGAGAATATGAAGGAACTGTTAAGAAAAAAAAAAAAACCTCTTGGAAGTAATATGTGATTATACCAAGGCTGCAGAATAAAAAGGTTAATATACAAAAGTCAATTGCTTGCCTATATATTAGCAATGAACAAACAAAATTTGAAGTAAAAAACACAATATAATTTACATTAATACCCCAAAAGTGAAATGCTTAGGTTTTAATCAAACAAAATTTTTACGTGATCTACATGAGAAAAACTACAAAACTCTTTTGAATTAAATCAAAGGATAGCTAAGTGAATGGAGAGATAATCCATGTTCGTGGGCAGGAAGACTCAATATTGTCAAGATTTTAGTTCTTCCCAAATTGATCTATAAATTCAATGCAATCCCATTCAAAATCCCAGCAAGTTATTTTGTGGGTATGGACAAGCTGACTGAAAACTTTATATGTGGAGAAAAATGACACAAAATAGACAAGAAAATATTGAAGGAGAAGAACAAAATTGGAAGACTGACACTATCTGACTTCAAATTTTCTATAATGCTACAGTTATCAAGACAGCATGAACAACTCATACAGCTTAATATTAAAAAAAAGCTCAATCAAAAAATGGGCAGAAGACCTAAATATCAATAGAAATTTCTCCAAAGAAGACACACAGATGGCCAACAGGCACATGAAAAGATAATCAATATCACTAATTATTAGAGAAATGCAAATCAAAACCACAATGAGGTATCACCTCACACCAGTCAGAATGGCCATAGTTAAAAAGCCTACAAATAACAAATGCTGGAGAGGGTGTGGAGAAAAGGGAACCCA